GTCTTTATTTCACAGTTAAAATATATGTTTATCAAATAAAGTCTAATGTTACAACTAATCAGGGATCCCTTTTAAGGAGGTGACGTTTGTTAAATTAAATTTTGTTTGACCTCCACAACGCACGTTTCTTCAGCAAAACGTTYCGTCTCAACATAACCAACACTGTTATTCTAACTGTCAGTGATTATAATGTTACGGTTTGTCCGGGTGCCTGAAGATAAGAGTTGCATCTTCCCAGTTTGTGCACATAAACACACACACAAAGGCTAGATGTCAGGTTGTTCTTTTCAAGTTCAGTAGGTCACAATCGACACCCTGTGATCCAGCAGGGGCCCCAGTGGCCAGTGTTTATCAGACCATTTCAGATGAGTTATATTTAGGGCAGCCTGGGCCAGACGCCATTCTCCCTGCTGATTTACTGGGCTGCTGGAAGCGCTCCTCTACCTTATCCGGTTTCCACAGTCAGCCCAGTGTAATTTGTCAGGATATGGCTCGCGGAGCTATAAACCTCCTGTGTTTGTGTGCGCATGAGTGTGTGCGTTGGACGTTAGGTCCTACCAGTAATAGCTCCTGATTTCCTCTCGCTCTTTCTCTCCTTCTCAATCTCAGCCACACCCAGATGTGTGCATGGCAACGACCGCACAGATAAACACTTCCACTCGTGTACAAAGAGTCAGATAAGAGCACCATTCTGACATGCACTGAGCTACTGTGAGACGTTCAGTGCAAAGAGCACCGATTCCCCTTCAAAGCTTTAGTTAATCATCTGTGACAAAAAGAGTGAGAAAGCTGCAGATTTTCACCTCTATATACATCCCTGTTCCAGGCAGTGCAAAGGGTGGAGTCCCTTTGTGTAAAGTAGCAATGATGGATCAGCGTTTTCCCTCCATGTGATGTACCGCTGGAGTCTCTGACGCACAGAATGGACCAATTTTCTCTAGAAATACAAGCTCTGTCATTTTCTTTTTCTTGAGTTCCTGTCCATGTTTTTCTCTGTCTGACTCCAGCACACACACACACACACACACACACACACACACACACCTACAC